CGGAAAAAAAGGCAAAAAATTACTCCTACTTTTCATTTTAAAAAAAGTGAAGGAGCAGATTGTAATTTATTCTTTATTTTTCTTTTCATTTCTTTTTTGTTTTATTTATATAGGAGGGTATAATGGTCCTTTTATATTAAAAATTGGTAAAAATGACGTTCAGCGCAAAGAACGTGAAATGTATGATGTTCTGCGCCAAAAAACGAAAGGTGTGGACATTTTCCACAAAAACCTTCGAAGGTAGGGACGTTTTGCGCCAATTACCCTTTTTTGAATTTACGTGTAAAATATTTTATTATATGAATGTGGTTGAAAATAAGCATGTATAAAAAAGAATTTTAAAAAAATGGAAGACAACCAAGGACTTAATCAAACCTACAATTCTAGTTAATTTAAAATCGTTACAATCTAATTAGTAAAACATTTTTCTTTTTTTATCTCAAGGAACTAAACCAAGAGCTCGAAGTGGGCATGGGACAATTGATCTTGGGAATCTTCCCTGAGCTGCGATTTTGATGAAAAATAAGATATTCTTCACTACATAGGATTGTTAAAATCGAGATGAGACCACATGAACATTATGTTTTCCATTATATTGTATTTTTCGATGCTAGATGGGAAAGCTTTCATTTGAATTTTTAGCAGAGGTTCAAAGGTGGCAAACATATCGAACTATTTATGGACTCAACTCCAACATCGATCCATAGGCGACTTTTTGAACTTATTTTATTAATGTGTTTTAAGAAGCATGAGCAGTTTGTGGATGGTTCAACTCAGTTCACGAACCAAAAAATCAATTCGAGCCTAGTTTGTAGACACAAGTCAAGCTCATGCGTCTTAAGCCTCGATACATTGTTGTAATCCATATAGATATCATAGGATTGTAGAATTCAATGAAATTAATGAGAAATGAATTTAGGGTCTTAATCGGCGCAAGTCTGAAAATGCTTAATAGTAAAATTTCTACCGTTATTCAGCCATTTTCCTATCATTGGCCACCATTTCCAACAATTTCCAGCCACTTTTCTTGACCAAATCTCTCACATGTGGGCTCCAGTTGACCAAAAATGGTCAAAAAATTGATTTTGAGAATCTCCTCCCGACAGGTGCCTGGCCGCTAACTAAATGAACGATTTATTTTCCTAATTATCAACGGTTGAAAATGACCCCTCTCCAATAATTTTGCATTAATTTACAATTGACCATTTGTGCATAAATACTATTTTTTAGTCACATTAAAATTTTCATTTTCATTCTTCTACTTATTTTCAACGGCGCACATTTTAATAAAATAATATTTTCCATGAAATCAATAAATTTTTCTCTTTTTCAATCACATTTCTACTATTCAAAAATACACTCTTGGCTTCAAACTCACCCTTCGATCCAAAAGCAAAATATCAAACACCTTCTGCCCATTTGCAATAAGCTTTCAAACGAGATGCACTCCTGAAGAGGATTAATCCAGCATATTTTGCTCTTGTGCAAGTCAAATTTCTGGTAATTTTACCCTTACTTTTTATTTTCTTACTTGTGCAAGATCTTCTTTTCATCTTTAATTGTAGTATTACTGAGTTGCACTGGCAGTAATTAAGAGGAACCCACTCTAGATTTCTGTCCTTCTGTTTTCGTTTTACTTCACTGTCTTTGTCTGATTTGTTAGTGAACCTCTGAATTTTGATTTGTTCACTTCTCCATTTATAACGTTGATCTCTTCTGTTCATATGTTATAATAATTCAGAACGTAAGTTGCGAATCATGTTAACTTTAAGTTGCTGAAATTAAGTACAATTGTAATAGTTCAGAGTATTTTCTTCAGCAATTTTTGGACAGCCTATCTGTTTCCTCCTCTCTCGGTTCACGACCCTGTATATAAATTTTTAGTGATGTTCATGGACAGATTCCTTCTGTTCGAACGAAGATCATGACCAGAAATAAGTTAGAATTCAATAGATTTGAGAATATTAAGTTTGGCTTTTACAATTTACTACAAGGGACTCCGTGGAGCAAAACAAATGAGATTTGGATCGATGCAATTTATTCTCTATGAATTGTAGAAGTCGACGACCCCGTGATTCTACTGTATTATACTCTAATTAATTCGTTAAAACTGAAACTCTTATTTTTCATATTCGGAAACTTTAAAACATCCGGAAACTCATATAGACAATCATGTTTGATGTTATGAGCTTGATCTATATTTGGCATTAGACTCATATGAGCTTCTCTTGCTATACAGAAATTTCCCACGCAATTTGCCACCTGTTGGAATGGCAAATCTTGGTGAAAATTCCTTATTAACAGGACTGCTAAGTCCTACATCTCAAAGAAATCAAAAAGCTGATTCAAAGAGAAAAAGAATTCGCCGGTGTAGAAGTGCTCCATTGGCTGAATTAGTTCCTCGTGAACTGGATGGCAAAAATGAGGCTACGACGCTTCCTCGTTCTGAATTCTTTTTGGACAAGCTACATCCCAGTTTCAAAAGAGTAGCCATTTTCTTAACATTCTACTTGGTTGTTGGTACTATTTGCTTTTCCTTTGTTATGAAGCAGATCAAAGGAGAGAAAGTAAATGTAATCCTTGATGCTGTTTACTTTTGCATTGTCACAATGACTACTGTTGGATATGGAGACCTTGTGCCCAACAGTGTCGCCTCAAAACTGCTAGCCTGTGCTTATGTGTTCTCAGGGATGGCTGTAGTTGGTCTAATGCTTAGCAAAGGCGCAGACTACATAGCAGAGAAGCAGGAAATGCTTCTTATCTAGGCTCTGCATATGCACCAGAAACTTGGCTCAGCTGAAATTCTGAAGGAGATTGAAACTAACAAAGTACGGTACAAATGTTTTACAATGATGGCTCTTCTTATAGTGCTCATTATAGTTGGGACAGTCTTCCTTTCTAAAGTTGAGAAATTGGATATTGTTGATGCCTTTTATTGCGTCTGCTCTACCATCACAACCTTAGGATATGGAGATAAGAGCTTCTCGACCAAGGCAGGACGTGTTTTCGCTATATTTTGGATCTTGACGAGTACTCTCTGTTTGGCTCAGTTCTTTTGTTATATTGCCGAACTTAACACAGAAAGCAGGCAGAAGGATTTGGTTACGTGGGTTCTTACCAGGAGAACGACAAATGTGGATTTAGAGGCAGCTGATCTCGAAGGGGATGGGATTGTAGGGTCAGTGATTTACAGCTCCCTTTTCTTTTGTCTCCTATACTTACTTTACATTCTGGTTTTTATGCTTTCAGTTGAATAGTTGAATAAATTCTTTTCTTATTTTGCTTTGCTAACAGGGCTGCTGAATTTGTCTTATATAAGCTAAAAGAGATGGGAAAAATTAATCAAGAAGATATTTTGCTTTTTATGGATGAGTTTGAAAACCTTGATTTTGATCAATCTGGAACTTTGTCAGGCTGTGACTTGAAGCTTGCACAACCAGCTCAAATGTAGAGGTAAATCTGCTGATTTTGTACACTTTAATATGTAAATTTCACACGTGCCTTGTGGCTTCAACAAGTTTGTTAATAAATGAATCTCCTTCGAAACTCAATGATTATTTATACTGGAATTTACTTTAAAAATTTGAGACTACTCAAGTAGATGAACAAGAACTTGACAGAACTGTTATGTTGATCTTGCATTATTTTTCTTTTTCGAAGGGAGTTTTTTTAACAGAGGAGTCGAAAAAATGGTTTTCCCAGAAGAATTATGAATGTTTGTGCTGGAAAAAATACTGCAATACGCCTTTATTTTATTGGAGCCATATCCCATTTCCCTTGCAAGTTTATAAGTAGAATTTCCATGTATAAACATGTTGTGAATTGTGATTGCCTTGTGAATGCTTTTCTAGTGGTATAAGTTTTTATCAAAATGCTTGAGGTTCGGTTGGGAGAGGTTTTTCAAGTGAAGAAAATTATGGATTTCATATGTATAGTTGAAAATTATTTTGAGGAAAAAACGATTTTCTAAAAATCTCTCCCAAACAGTGACTAGAAATCTTTGTTTTGACTCTAAAAGCAACATTCTAATTTTCCGATTTTCTACTAAAGTACCATTAGAGCAAATGCTTCAAGCTATAGATTACAATTGTCGAAAGAACCTTATATTTTTAAAACGTTAAAATCATTTAAAACTTGTTAAAAATAAAAATGCTAATTCTTTACATATTAAAAAGAGTTGAATGGCCAAATCAAACTCATTTGTACACTCGAAATAAAACAATCAAACTTATTGATGGAAGCATCTTTCGCAACTAAATGGCTACACTAAATTCCATCTATTTTAACCAATCTCGACAAAAAATTAAAAATTAAAACCTTTTTGTAAGGAATTAAAAATGGTACATTATGTTTGACATTTCAAGATATGTCGAAAATAATGTCATTGATTGTTTAAAGTGTGTTTAAAATCAATGTATAAAAAGCTCTTACATCACAACAATGTCAAACTTGATGTACATGTAGCGAAACTGTTCTGTAACATGTTGAATTAAATTCAAATTTTGGAAATGAAATTCCTAAAATGCAAGTATCATTGTCACGTGCAACTCCAAAGTATGTCATAGGGCGACAAAACTTCTCGTGTCGCTATGCAATAATTTAGAAAAAGGTCGAATGCGTATCATACTCGAGCATTTATTGTGTGTTTCTATTTGGTACCTTATTGACATTACCCAATGTGCTCAAAATTAACCCATAGGGCACGATAGCTTTTCGTATCAATTGAGCACTATACAAAAGGAACGACGGGGTAAAAAAAGACGAGACATAAAAGTTAAAACAAAAATAACTTTAAAAATGTAAAAAACAAATACATTGACAAACCATTTGTGCCTAAATACTATATTTTATTTTGCCTATGTTTAAACCACATTAAAAAATTTATTCTCATTTTTCTATTTATTTTTAACAACGCATTTTTTAATAAAATAATATACGTAAATAAAAATGCTAATTCTTTACATGTTAAAAAGAGTTGAATGGCCAAATCAAACTCATTTATACACTCGAAATAAAACAATCAAACTTATTGATGGAAGCATCTTTAGCAACTAAATAGCTACACTAAATTCCATCTATTTTAACCAATCTCGACAAAAAATTAAAAAATTAACACCTTTTTGTAAGGAATTAAAAATTGTACATTATGTTTGACATTTCAAGATATGTCGAAAATAGTGTCATTGATTGTTTAAAGTGTGTTTAAAATCAATGTATAAAAAGCTCTTACATCAAAACAATGTCAAACTTGATGTACATGTAGCGAAACTGTTTTGTAACATGTTGAATTAAAATCAAATTTTGGAAATGAAATTCCTAAAATGCAAGTATCATTGTCACGTGCAACTCCAAAGTACGTCATAGGGCGACAGAACTTCTCGTGTCACTATGTAATAATTTAGAAAAAGCTCGAATGCATATCATACTCAAGCATTTATTGTGTGTTTCTACTTGGTACCACTCTGGTCAAGTTTTTGTGATTAATGTCTTATTTAGATTACCCAATGGGCTCAAAATTAACCCATAGGGCACGATAGCTTTTCGTATCAATTGAGCACTATACAAAAGGAGCGACAGGGTAAAAAAAGACGAGACATAAAAGTTAAAACAAAAATAACTTTAACAATTTAAAAAACAAATACATTGACAAGAACTTAATGGAAATGGTGTTTCTTTCTTTCTTTTCTTTTTTTGTATTTCATTTTTGTCTTGTTTGACATTTTTTTTTTTTTGAGATTATAGTTGGTCAAACTTTATTATTAACTTTACATATCATTGAATCCATATTTTTTATTCACTTTTAACCACATTTCATGAAACCAACCTACTTATAATTCCAAAAAGCTTCATCAGATGAAGCTTCTCTCCTGTTTGGTGATGATTAAAATCAGATTTTTAGCAAATTTCGATAACATTTAATAAAATGTATGGTTAAAAAGTTTTGAATCTTATAAAATATGTGTTTAAAATTAATTATCTATTTTGACTTAGATTTTAATTCCTAGCAAACATAAGCTTAATAAATTAAATCCATGTTTGAACCCTATTTTTTGAGAAGAGATTTTGTAAAAAGAATTTTTTTTGGAGAATATATGATTAAAAAGTAGAGAAATATTTTAAGTTTACATATAAAATTATTTAAGAGAATGTATAGATAAAAATAAATGTGAACGAAAATAAATTTTAAAAACTAAGACTCAAAAGAGACTAAGTAGAGGTGGCAATGGACCGACTCGGCCCTTATGCACACGAGTTTGGCTCGTTTATAACGAGTCGAGCTTTTGCTCGGCTCGTTACTCATGTGCCGAGCTGAGCTCGTGGGCCGATGTGAGCTTCGGCTAGCGAGCTAGTTAATTTTTTTTAAGATAAACATTTTTTTAAAAAAATAAATAAAATAAACCATTCGCCTGGACAAGCCCAGCTCACGAGTTGGGCAAGCTCGTTGGCTCGCCCACGAGCCGCTCGTCCGTGGGCGAGCCGAGCCCAAGCGAGTCAGCCTAATGACGAGCCTGAGCCACCCACGAGCCGAGCCGACGAGCAGCTTTGCTCATTTGCCACCACTAGGACTAAGCCTTTGTTTGATAATCATTATAATGAGCTTTTTTTTGGGGAAATGATTTTTTGAAAAATATGTAGTTAAATGTAAGAAAAAATTATGTGCAAAATATTTTATTACAAGAATATTTAATTGGAAATGAGCTTGCGAAAAAAAAAATTATTTAACTAGGGATAAAGGTAAGTGAACAATTATCAAAAGTCAACGCTAACTGTACTATATTCTATAAAAGCACGTTCTAAAAGAGTAGGTAATCTCAACCGTTGAATCGAGGCGTCCATCCCAAATTGCACTTCAGCCGTCAATGCAGTTCCCCTTAGAATTACACCAGTTGTCTCCGCCAACCTCTCCGCCCGCATGAGTCGTGAGATGCCATTAAACCGGATTTGGAATCCGGATTTGAAGTCCGCAATATAAAAGCTCACCCGAGAATATGATATTCTGGTTCAAAGTGTGAAACCGTTGACAGAAATAGAGTGAGCTGTTATAGTGTTATTGGAGCTCTCCCGTATCTGGAATTTGAAACATAGCTTACATTTATGTAAGTTTCTCGTTTCACTAGAATTCTGTATTTCTGGTACTTGAATGCGTGTGTTATTGTTTCTTTTTGTAAATTTGAGGATGAAAATTCTGGTCTTTCGTGGTTAGGGTTCTGTGAGTTTTCGGAATTTTTTTGTTTTTAGTTTTTACTTGTTTTGCTGCTGCTTGTGGAAAATCTTTAATATTTTTAGAAGTTATATTGAGCGAACAACTGCGGTGAGAAACTGTTGGGTTTTTTTGGGCATGTCGTAGAATTCAATCGATAACATATACAGACATACATGCCCACACACACATGTACTTAACTTACCCAAGCATAAACACACTTACGCATAGGTATAATTGTTCAAGTTCTAATTTTTTAAAATCTACAGATCATACTTTTTATCCTCTTTTATTCGTAGATTATTTGGACATTTTCTGTATTTAGTGCTTTTTGGTTTCATAATGCTTCTAATACACTCGATGCCTTAGATTGGTTTATAGTTTTGGTTTGCCAGAATATTTTTTTACTTATATAGACAGTTTATTTTCTTAATGCAGTTTAGTTTTGTTATAAGGGAAAGGTTTTGGAACGAGGTTTATGGGTGAAGGAGAGGCATCAGAGAAGCTAGGGGCATCAGACGTGAAAGGAGAGGGGGTGGAAAAGATTGAGGCTGTGATGGAGAAGAATGAGGAGCAAAATGGAGTGACAGAAATAGTTGAAGATAAAAAGGATGAATGGAAAGTTGAGGTCCAGAAAATGGTTGCAGACAAAAAGGAGATCAAAGAAAGCAAGGGAACTGAAGAAAAAGAAGCGGAGGAGGAAAATTTATCAGGTGGAAGCAAAAAGGAAGAAGAAAATGAAGAAATGGGAGAGGAAGAGCATGAAACTACAGGAGATACGGGAAACGAAGCAACCAAGAATGAGGCAATGGAAGATGGCTCTGGGAAGACCCCTGAGGAGGAGATGGAGGGTAAGGTTGAAGAGGGGGTTGCTGGAGCAAAAGAGGAAGAAAAACTGGGACATAATAAAGAGAAAAAAGGCTCGAAGAAGCGTCCTAGAACAAAAAGTAGTGCTGCAAAAAAAGAGAAAAGTACGATGAATGAAGCTGTAGAGAAGAAAGAAAATGATATGAAAACCCCAACAGAGAAAAAACCAAAAGAGCCTAAAACCCCTAAGGAGAGAAAAGAGCCGACAAGCCCTACAGCTCCTGCAATTCAACGTCCTGTACGTGAACGGAAATCTGTAGAAAGGTTGGTCACCACTATTGAGAAAGATACTTCCAAGGAATTTCGACTTGAAAAGGTGTGTCTTTTGACTTTTGACTTTTTCTCGTTCCCATACCCTCAAAAGATTAAATATACTGCTGCAATGCGTTCATGAAGTTCATCGACTTTTTCTCTGAAGATCGCTTTGTGACATATCAGTATTCGTTTGCAGGGTCGTGGCACTGCACTGAAAGATATTCCTAATGGTACACTTTTTAAGTATTTTGATGCCACCACTTTATTCATCATGCATAGGCATCGACTTAAGTCTTGTCATGTTACAATTGTCAGGAGTTGCATTCTTAAGATTTTGTTATGGCTTCATGACTTTCTTAATTACACTACTTAGGAAACCTGTATGATGGGCGAAGTAAGTTTTAGGGCATCATCCAAGATTGTTTATGGGAGGAAATAGAAGTTGACGGTCTGTAAAGATTTATTTTGATGCTTGCGACAATTATGACATCTTGTATTTTTTCCTTGAATTCTGGTGAGTCACCAAGTAGTGGACTTGATTGTGTAGATAATATGACCGAATCACCAACCGTAGTAGAAGAAAGTTCACAAGTCCCCCTAAGCAATGCTGAATACCTACTGCATAGCACATTAATCAACCTATCTTATGTTTCTCCATCCTGTGTTGTGTCAGATTTCATGGTTTTTTTGAGGAGCTTTTCTTTATCAAATAAAACACTGATACTTGGGGATGAATCATTTACCATCCTATTTCCTATGCAGCTCTAGCTCAATCAATGAGCTACTATATGGATAGACCAATTCCATAACTAGTCGAAGATAGTCTATAAATCTTCTTTAAAAATGTGGGAACTCTTCCCTCAGTATCTATTGCATTTGTTCTAGTCATTTCCTCTTAATGGACTGCCTCATATTTGGTTGATGGGGTTCTGGATAGATTATCCAAGCTCGCCAGAAAATGGGCAGGTCCAATGAGTGTTGGTTATTTGTTCCTTGTTTTTGTCAAGAGTCAGCTAAGATGTGTTTATGCTAAACAGAGGAAGGAGGGGTTGTGATAATGCATTTGAATGCCACTGCTTGGAGGACAAGGTTTTTTTATTCCTCTTCCTCTTTGAGATTTGGGAATTGGGAGTGAGGTGGGGGGTTAATGTATCAAGTCAACAGAAGAAAAAAAAAAGAAAAAAAGGCGGCCATAACTTGACATGTATACATTATGGGGTACTATTATCAGCCAACATATTACACAATATAAGAACTTAGGCAACAAGTGGTGTTCCACTTTTTTGTGTGATGGGTTGGGCCTTGCATGCTAGGGGAAACTAGTCTTCCTCTTGTTTAAATTCAGTTGTTCAATGCCAAAACAGCAGTTTTCACTACTATGAGCTTTTCCTCATTCAGTAAAATGATATAATGGGGCTTTTTGGTCATTGGCTATCAATCTAATGAGAGCCACCTCTGCAACAACAAAAGTTATGATGTAGATATTCTTTGATAAATTTGCTTACTTAAAATTATGCTCTTGTTAGGATATGACTCTCCTGAACATAATGAGAATACCTTCCCCCAACCCATGCCTCTTCTATAATCAAAGCTAAAGGTGGTAGTTGAGTTGTTTCTTCCCGTCAAAACTGTGCGTGATTTTATTCAATTTTGAGTATTATGTTTCTTCTGTTCCATCTTTACTAAATGCATGTTTTCCTTGTAAGTTTTTTTAACACATTGTACTTGCTGAAAATTCATTTGAACTGCTTGGAATGCAGCTTAACAAAATTCCAAGAAAATCTTCATTTATTTTACTTTTACTCATTTTTTCAATGATTTCAGTTACGCAGCTGTACGAACAAACTTCCTGATGTTTTCAAAACCACATTTTTTGTTTCAGTGGCATACAAGTTGTCAAGAAGGAAGAGTGAAGACACTTTCAAATTGCTGCATACAATTCTTTTTGGAAGGAGGGGAAAGGTAATGCTTTGAGTCCATAGTTAATATTCTGGTGTTCCTCCATGGCTCATTTGGGTCTAGCATGAGTTTTCTTTGTTAGATGCAGTGTTTCTGTCAGATTGATACTTGGATCACCTTGAAAATGGCTGGAAATTTCATTTCCTTGAGTTTTATAAAATATCTCCTGTGTCATGCATCTGAAACAATTTGTAGTTTGAAGTTATTAAGCATATTTGTTTCTTCTTATGCTTGAATGCATTTTGAATACTTCGGTACCATTGTCAAAGCAAGCAAGTCATAATTAGTTTCACTTGCAAACATTTGGCAGCTTAAGTACTTAATTTTTGAACCATTATCTCGTTTTTTTAAATTATTATTTTTATTAATTTTGTATAATGTATCCGAGTTGAGTCATATAACCCTGAGTTTGCTTAAACAAACTGTTAGCAGCAATGTTCACTCACCTTTCCCAGATTCCTGCCAATTTATTTCAGTATTTAAAGTAAATTTGGTTTCCTAATGTGAGCTATAAGATGTTGATGTGTTGTAGTTGGGTCCATTTCATGCCTTTGTTGATAACTTCTGATAGTTGACTCATACTTATACTTCTATCAAATTCTACAGGCAGCTGAAGTCAAGAACAACATATCTAGATTTTCTGGATTTGTGTGGCATGATGATGAGGTAAAGAGGAGACTTATATTAAGTTATCTGGTGATTGTACAACATATATTTAGAACTTCTTCGAAACATAGCTCAGCATTTTCAATGTGCATGTGTTAGGAAAAGCAAATGAGGAAACTAAAAGAAAAACTTGACAAATGCGTCAAAGAGAAATTGGTGGAAGTCTGTGATGTTCTTGATATACCAGTTTCCAAATCTACTACAAGGAAGGTATGTAGATCTCTCTGCTTCACATTAACCTGAAAATTTTACATTTGCATTCTTATGTTTTTCAATGGCTTCACCTCTCCACTTATTGCGCTTTTCTTGATCTATGCTTTATTATTATGGGATACACTAGCTCGCATGTGTTCTAGATAATTTTTGACAGTACCTTGACTAGTGATGTCAATTTATAGTAGTCACGAGATGTACCACATCTCTCCTGCATTCCTTCGTCTCCAAGATTATAATTCAATTTCATCGTTCATCCTGCATCCAGGAAGACATAATTGCAAAGTTGATAGATTTTTTGATGGATCCTCATGCAACAACCATCGAGTTGCATGCTGAAAAAGAACAGGTTCAACACGAAGTCCATCCTTTCTTGTTTTGCCTTTTCACTTGGCTTTTTGTATATTTACATATCTCATGTACACTGACCAGTTGGGCAAGGACAAAAAGAGAAAGAAAGTCAGCAAAAGCAATATATCAATATCTGGGAATGCATCTTCAAAAGGTTCTGCCAAGGTATTCCCTTGTTAATTGGAGCAGAAAAATTTTTAGCACGATAAGGTTGGAGTTAATATCTCAAATTAGAACATTATGATCTCTATACTGTAGGTTTTGTCAGTTCAATCATGTAAGAAAATAAGTTCAAATTTCACCTAGTTCTTGACTCTTATTTCGGCACTTTAATGTGTGTATATGTAGAGATTGAATGTAGTTTATCCTGTTTGGGGTGAGCTGCAGACTTGAAGCATGTGCACTATTTTGTTGAACGGGAACGATTGAGGTAGAACATGCAATGAAAGTAGAATGTGGTCTGTAAGTTAATTAATGGATAACAAATTAGCAACAGGAAATGTCTAGTCAACCTCAAAAGTTTGACAAGATATTCAATTTAAGATGAAGGGTGTGCTATTTGCTTCTAGCAAACTATACTTCTTCTAAATTCTCCTCTTTACTTTGTAGTTTAGAATACTGCACGTGGATATTTCCATACATGCTTACAGGGAGAATAAAATGAGCATAATTGGGATTCAGAGCATGTCCCTTCACGGAGATAGATTAAAATAAAATTAGAAAGGGGGAAATGATGCCAAGTGAAACCTCCATTTTATATGGATAGAAGCTAGTATACATCATGGAGGCTATCTGGGGTTCCATTTGATATCCGAAACTGTGTGTGGATATTTTGGCTTTTGTTTAATTACAATTCGCCCTTTCGTTTGTAATTTTTCCGCTTTAGACGTGCACTTTCTTATTTGAATTCTCTTTCTTCCCCCCTTTTCTCTCCTCTGAAATAAATAAATAAATGAAACACATGCTCACTCATCATTGACAAATATATTCTTCATAAATGGAAGCTCAGTGATCAATCAAAGAAATCACAACTACTAACATAGTGGAAGACGTATGAAAGTGTAAAAAATATTACTCGTGATATTAATCTTTATTTCTGGTGTATTTTCAGAGTCAAAAGAGAACTGAGACTGCATCTGAAAAAGGGGGGGAGGAAAAGAGCATGCCTGAATTTGATGATGAAACAGAAGAAGAGAAAGATGAAGCACACGAAGAGGAAATTGTTAATGGTGTTCCTGAAAGATCAGAAAGTGAGACATCTGATCAAGGTGAAAGTGAGAAGGAAGGCGCATCCGAAGACGAGCCCGACGAGGACAAAGGAAAGCAAAAGCGAGGTTCAGCAAAGAAGGGATCTGGCGAAAAAGCCAAAACTAAGAAAGTTACAATCTCTAAGAAGGCTACTCCTCTGCCTAAAAAAGCACCTGCAAAATCACCATCCAGTCATTCAAAATCTAATAATGATAGTGTGAAGAAGCCTTCCAGTAAGAAGAAAAATGAAGCAGTTAAGGAGAGGTCATCAACTTTAAAGAAATCTGCATCAAAGGAGACAACTGGTGAGAATTGTAGTTTATTTTCCTTTGATTGAACTCTTTGGTTTCGATAGTTTAATCATCACCATCCCAAAATCAGAACGTCCTGAACCGGCTTATGGTTCAGACCATCTGTGAGGGCCTTTTCATGAGAATCCATTTTCTAAAGCTTTCTTGTTTCCTTTCTAAATTAAGGGAAAAAGGTTGTGAAAGGTAACGGCAAGTCCAAGGAGGACAAAGTAAAGCCAAGTGACGAAGAACTTAAGAATTCGATGTGTGAGATTCTCAAAGAGGTGGACTTCAATACGGTAAGGATCTGAAGTTCTCTGTTCCATTGTGAAATGGTTTTGATTTCAATACATCCTTCCCTCTTCTGTGTTTAGGTTTGAGAAGTGGGAGAGGAAGATGTGATTTTCTTTTGAACTTTCTTGTACTTTTAGATTTGCATCCTTAAATATTGCTTGGTGTTGGCTACCCTTTTGGAGAACTTATAAGCAGTGCTGCTTTTCCTTTCTAGAGAAATCATCAAAAAGAAATTTGGACTTCTAAACTTCAATCTTATATTGTTTGTGGTTGACCATGTGGTTTTTTTTTTTAAGTGGAGTTAAGTAGTGGAAAACGGGATCAACTTATTTGCATGACATTTACTTGTGGTATTCAAGTGAATTCTTCAGTTACCAATTCTTTTCGCTCTGCATCTTTCATTCAATGTGTACTGTATTTTTTGCAGGCCACCTTCACTGATATTCTAAAGCAGCTCGGTAAACTTTCTATATTTATTTATACAATCTTTTAAGCCATACAATTGCTAAGGATCCCCTTGTACTCTCCTGTACTTTTTCGATTTCTTTTTGTCAAGGTGGGGGGTTGGTGTAGACAGAATTGTAGAATGATCATGGCACCAATTTGACATATTTTGTGTCATTGTGCTTCTATGATTATTACAGTTGAGGAATGAAAGATTTTTTTAGTTACTGCAGCAACAGAATTTGAAAGTTTCTAGTTATTTCTTAGTATTTCATACCGGTTAAAATTCTGAGAAAACTCTTAACGTTTCAGCTGAGCGATTCAATGTGGATCTGACACCGAGGAAATCATCAATAAAGCTCATGATTCAGGACGAGCTAACAAAACTAGCCGAAGAACAAGATGACGAAGAGGATGAAGGTGATGCCGAGAAAAATGTTGAACAATCTTCTAGCCGAGGTGCACAGGCCTGACAACCTAAGAAGAAACACACAAAGTATGAAGCGTAGGGTGCCTTCCGACCTATCATTTTCTGCAGCTCCATCGTCTTAATTTATGTTGGTCCATCTACTCTGTAGTTCAATATTCTCATGTTTTATACCCCACATTTCCAAGTTAAGCTATAGCTGTAATTTGTTGGTAGTGTTGACCGAAAGATTTTTGTTCAATAGGATTTCCTAGAACTAAATGCTTCAGAATGTACACGTGTATAAAGTTGTAGAAATTTTCTTTTTTCCTTCAGTGTACTGATCCTTGAATAGGTGATAGATTTTCCACTTCTCTTATGTATCGAAGCTGATTGTAGGAATTGTCTCCTTGTACTTGTATTTTTGCTATTTGAACAAGGTTTTGTGTTGATTTTAAACAGCTTGGCCCTAAAAATCAATTAGCTTTATTTATATGGTTTTGGTTCGTGCATATCTTGAGTGCCTTTAAACGAATTTAAATTAGTGCTGTTTTATTTAATTTTTTTAGTGTGTGTACGTATCAAATTCTCTCGATTTACTATATTATTTAAATCGTAAATAGATATAAATTAGTGGTGAATAAATGAACGGTACTTGTGAATTTTTCGAAATATATGAATAAAATGTGATATGAGTAATTTACTAAAGCTGACTTGAATGTTTATAAAATGTTTTCAAGGAAAATTTAAAATCCAGACATTAGTATGTTTCATTTCACTTTTAAGATAATATGTTTTTATTTTAAATTTCAAAGAATCTTCTATATATATGAGCTTTATGTTCTTAGTCGCGTGTGTGTGTATATATATTTCCCTTCAGAAAAAGTACTATAGTAATAAGGTCAATTCTTCGTTTGGTACTGCTCTATTAAATGTAATCAGTTAGGGTTGTTAACAAGGTAAAATAGAGTGTGCTTGTCATTGGCGAAACAAGAACAATTATCCCAAATCGGGTTGTTTGAAAAAAGAAGAAAATTACAAAGAATTTGCACTCAAATTTTGACTACAAATTATAAAGTAATGTGTTGATTTTAATTGGATAAGATGTCTGATCTAAAATGAGGAAAGAAGATTTTCGACTCTACCATGGTTCGACAACATCGTCCACCTCAAATGTGCTGGGAATTCTTGCGGTATCGAAGAGTACTTTTTCCTCCTAAAATCTTTGATAATATCTTGGAATAAGAGGGCTAAAGTCTCATCACTTGAAGCAGTTGAAGTGGTGGCCCTGCCTTGTTTCTTTTCAATCATCCAATATCACAATTCTAAAGTGCTCCCACCACCATTTTTCATTGTTCTTCACCTTTCTATTAATATCCTACATTAACCAAGCAAAGCAATGCATGCGAAAGAACTAGAACAAACTCATCTTACAACTTCTAATATTGGTTTTCTTCCTATACGAGGCAAATCGTACGCGACGACACAAGTTCGTTATTGATTAAGTAGCGAAGGGTGTTCGGTTCAATGATTCCAGTGGGAAACGGTAACTACATATTGAATCGATCCTACATCAATTTCCGAAAATGCCGTGTAACGAAAACTATTAATAGACATGAAATACTATAAACATATTATCCAAAATTCATGTCACCAACCATCAATTTCACTCGAAGCCAACTAAAACAAAGCATTTTAACCACCTTCTATACTCGGTATACTCTTTCAATCACTTTTAACCTCTATTACATCGAACACAATTACAATAGTTCGAGATGCCGTGAGAGTTTTGAGTCGACCCGATTAGGCGGAAAAACTATCAGCCCAAGCAATTATCACTAAAAACACTTAAAAGATGAGATTTGACCCACAACGCTAAAATTCATGACAGGAATCAATGACAAAACCAAACTCACATATACACATATATCAACACGAATACTGTATTTGACATTTCAACATATACTAATGTCGCGTCATTATCAATAGAAGGCAAATCAAGCTACCTTGGTCTCCCACTGGCAGCTGAAGACCCGGATCCGATATGGTAACCCGATCCAACTTTACCGGACCCACTTCCACCCATCTGATTGTAGCCGTACATTTGTCCCTGCATCTGATGCCCCATCATTCCATACATCCCCTCATAACCACCCCCAGAAGTACCCATATTTACGACACTGCCATCCCCACCACCGGAGCCGCCTCCGCCTCCGTCCTTCTCCCCTCTTCCGGCCATTGCACTCTTCTCCCCTTCCATATCACGAAACCTCTGCAAGTAAATCTTCAACGGCTCGACGTAGTCCTCGAATCCTAAAGTGGTCATCGCCCAGAGTAAATCATCGCCGTTGATTGTCTTCCTTTTCTCCCTCTGGCACTTATCCGACGCCTCTCCGGTGATGAAGCTGATGAACTCCGATACGCACTCTTGCACTGTTTCTTTTGCATCTTTTGATATCTTGGCGTTCGCCGGTAGTGCTTTCTTCATGATTCTGCTCACGTTAGCAATTGGGAGAAGCCTGTCCTGCTCTCTTGGTGAGGTCTCGTTATGCGAGTTGTGGTCTCTCTGTCCTCCCGATTCATTATCAGAATCCGCCATTTTTTCTTTCAACAATTCACGCGAAAAGTGTGAATGAATTTAGAATTTGGTATTACTGAGATGCCAAAACTGCTTTGAACTCAAAATCGTAAGATTTGAATTGATCGTTCACAGCGTTTGATACCAGAAAGGATGAAGCTCAAAAGCTTTGGTTATAACTGATTTCATAAACCCTTTACCATTCCTAAATGAAAAAAAGAAAAAATCACAAATAAAAAAAAAACAAGATTCTAATACAATCGCTCTGGAATACCAAAATCAATACAGAAAAAACGCAAGAAACACTAGAAAAATCCAACAGTGATAACAGAAAAAAGGAAAAATCAGGCAAAAAAAATTTAAAGAAGTAACTTCACAACTTTTAAAATCAAAATATTAGAAACAAGTACTCGCTATAATCACCCAGGAATACCAAATATCAGAAAGTTTTCAACCCTAGGCAATAAAGAATCTAACAAAACCATAAAAAAGAAAAAAAACTTGAAAAATCAAACAGTAAAATACACAAGTAGCTACGAAAATTAAATGCACGGAAGTGAAAAATCCGGCGAATTCGGAAAAATCGTATTTCAAAAGAGAATTTTTTCAGGGGGTGAAGAGGATTTCAGCGTAGAGAGAATGCCAGGTCCGTTCGATCAAATGCTGCAATAATGCGATCCTAAGTACACGTGGATGAATTTGGGCCGCTGTTTGTCGATAACTCTAGGACGAATTTTCCATCTCACGATCGACGTGAGTGGCGTAATCTGGATCGTTGATTTCGCACCTGGTACGTGTGTGGCTGTGAATGGATTTCTATTTACCCAATCAGAATTGCCATCGTGGCTTACGTGGAACATTCTTCATTTCTTTCGTCATCACTCATCAATTTTCATTTCTTTTTAATTTCGTCCCTCAATTTTACAAAAAAAGTCTTATTTGATGTACATTTAGGGAAGAATATTTCGATATGGATATGTGTATATATATATATATATATATATATATATATATGGTGTTTTCTAATATTGATCCGCATGTAAAGAATTGGAGTTTCATCTTGACAGGTCAACCTTATTAAGAGGAGTAACACAAACTCTTATAAATTGGTCTATATTTTCATCTTTATTCGATATGGAATTTTATCCCTTAACATGTTTCCGCAAGATGGTGACTCGTTTGAGCAGACCAATCTTGAAATTCGTGTGCTCAATTTTTTGAGTTTTATTCGGATCGAATTGTTCGTTGCAGTTTAATGAGTTCTCATACAATGTTAAGATTTAAGGTTTCATCTTAAAATGTCAACCTTATTAAGAGGAGTAGCACAAACCCTTATAAATTGGTCTATATTTTCATCTTTATTCGATATGAGATTTTATCCCTCAACACCGCAACTAAGATCTCGTTATTTTAAATTTCACAGTGTAGAACATAAAAACGATGATGAAAGATCACATTGCTAATCTCAAATTTGGTAAGAATAAAAAATATTGTAGAGATTAGGAATCTTGAAAGTAATAAGATGAGGGATAGAGATCAACCATTGAAAAGAAAAGGCAAAAGCTGAGCATTTGTCACATGGTTAATGCCTCCCTCGTAGATCAGGAAACTTGTGTCGACGTTGAGGAGTCTTACGCCATCTACATTTTGACATGATGATTCTTAGTTTTGTTATATTATGTACTAATCTTCTCTCTCTCTTTTTTTTAGAAATATTCTTGAGGAATTTATCTTGAAGAAGGGTCAAAATACCATTTGGATACGAACAATTCGAAAGGTCTCATATATTTTGCAACAAGCTTTTGAATTACAGGACGATACAACAAAAAATGTTTGATATTTAGTACTTGTGTGATGAAATTTTAGTTACAAATTTTATGAGATTTATAATTTTTATCAATTTTTTAATTATACATTTCGTCGACTTTTATCAATTTTTGGGGATTGCAATTTACACTATGGTAAAGATGTGCACATTTTGACGTTTAAGTGAGCAAACGCGGTCGACGAAATGTATTGACCGCATTATCACCTGCATACCTATGAACGGGACATTTTGAAAATACTCCGAGAATATGCGCGCATTTTAGAACACTACAAATGCGCAACAAGGCAATCCCAATATCTTCTAAAAACGTTGTTACACATGAGGGTTCGATTTCTGCCTCGTACAAGGTGTGAAATTGGACTCTTTGTGGGTATCAGTATGTCAGCTCTTATACCCTGACCTGTTGAAGCACATCCTGCGATTAACCTCCTCCACAATACTCTATGGACGAGACAGTGGGGGACCCTCAAGGTTGGGGTTCAATAATGTAATGTAATGTAATAAGACGGTTGGTATGGATTGCGGTTGAATTCTTTCTTTTAATGAGAGAAAATGATTTAATTGTTTAAAGTTCTTGCTCAAAAGTTTTATTTTCTTTCTTGTAACATTCTTAGTGTGTAAGAAACTCAAAAGTGACTTTTATAGTACAATCGACTTTAAACTTGATTTGATTGAATAACTTTAACAGGTCTTTTCAGTTAAATTTAATATGTATACTCTATACCTCTATAAAATGCATGTTTTAGTCCATGTTTTAATTTATTTAAAAAAAAAAAAATCATTTTCAATTATACATTTCACAAGATTTCAACTTTATCAAATTTTTAGTCGCATATTTCATCAATTTTTATTAAAGTCAATTAAAAGTTTAATTTTTAACTAAATTAAAGAGGGGTTTAATGTCATTGTTATAACCTATAATTATAGAGGGTGTTTGGTATGGATTAAAATTAGATTTTTAATAAATTGTGATAGAAAATTTTTGAAATGTGTAATTGAAAAGTTGTGGGACCCATAAAAATGTGATTAATATTGATTATTTGATTTTAATTTAAATTAAAATCTTATTTTAATTCGGACCAAACATTGCCATAATGAATGTCATTCACTTTTAAAATCGTTGGTAAAGAAAGAGCATTCGATAAACTTGTAAGTCCACAAGCAGACGATACGATACAATAGAATGATTACGTCCACGTGTAGAGAGCCTTTCCATTTCGAATTCATTCATAATAGTATCAGCATTTCCTTCTCAACGAAGATTCCTCACAAGTCAAACTGAATATATCAATAATGGAAACATAATCATAATTCGGATGAAAGGTATTCTCATTTTTCGTTTATACTCTCAAGTATGTATTATCGTGAATTAATTGCTCCAATGGTCTATAAACTTATGTATGTGTTTTCGATTGTTTACTGAATTTTAAAATGTCGAATTTTGGTTATTAAACTTATCAAAACGTTGGACGTTGCTCGCTGCCTCAACATCCGATCCTAATCTTTAATGGAATTAGCGACGTGGCTAACTAAGTGTACGTGTGACTCTTTGTCACGCCGTTAACAAATTGTCTCGTCTTCGATTGCTCACTAAACTTTGGAAAATGTCTTTAATTGCATACTAAACTTTGTAACAATGTTTTCAAGAAAAACGTTTTCGATTGCTCACTGAATTTTAAGACGGTCGAATTTTGATCACTAAACTTATAAAAATGATATTGACATGTTCGTTAAAAAATATTTACCACAATCACACGGATTGCTTAAAAGTAATAAAGTATAGGTGGCGACAGCGTTGGCGTCGGTCGGATGGGATGAAGAGTTTATGTGATCAACTATTTGGTCGATCTGTGACCAAGTATTGGTGGTGTTTTGGGATTGGGGGATGGGTGTTTGGGTGTATGTGACCAACTATATCGATCTGTGACCAAATATTGGTGGTGTAGTGGGATTGGGGGATAGATATTTGGGTGTATGTGACCAACTATATAGTTCTCTGTGGCTAACTATTTAACTGTGACTTTCTGTGACTCAAAATATAATATGTGACCAACAAATTTTCTTAACTTGTGACCAATTAAAAATCTGTGACCTAAGGTTGTACAAAAAAATCGCGAAACCGCAAACCGAACCGAAACAGTTGGTTCGGGTCCACGTGGACCCGCAGTTTTTTTCCTTCAAACCGAACCAAACCGCTTCAAAATGGTTTGGTTTAGGTTTCAAATTTTCAAAACCGTATAAAATCGAACCGAACCGTTTTTTAATTTTTTAATTAAAAAATTAATTTTATTAACTTACAAATTTTAAAGTTTTCACTTTTTAGAAAAAATACCAATTTAGAAATACAAATTACAACCAACCCATTATAATAATCATATAAAGTAAATTAAGTTCATCATTATTGACCGATAGTTTTATATGTCCACAACACACGTTGTGACCCGATATCTAATCAACTAAAATTAATCCAAAATCATATAAAAAAACATTTATTTTCAACCATCCAAATCATAATACAACAAAACTACGACATCAAATCATGCCACAACTTTAGAAGCTACCTAAACTCTCATTTCTCAAACATTTGACGTTTGCTTACCACTGCTGGACAAAATGCGATTCCCAATCACAAATCGTTAGTTGCCTTTTGCTTATTAGTCTACTAATTTTTACCCGAATCACCATTTTTCTGAGTTAATACCCTAAATAGTAACCGAACTTTGCCAAAAGTTCTCAGGAGGTCATCAAACTTCAAAACTTCCCTAATTAGTCACTGAGCTTTGTAAAAAAGTCCTTGGAGGTCACTGAATTTCAAAACTACCCTAAATAGTCACTGAACTTTGCTAAAACTTCCTATGAGGTCACCGAACTTTGCAAATTGTGACCCAGACATAAATGATTTAGTGACCCCCTATGAATTTTTTGCAAAGTTTGGTGACTAATTAGGGTAGTTTTTGAAAACTTCAGTGACTATTTAGGGTAGTTTCGAAGTTCAGTGACTAATTAGGAAAGTTTTGAAATTCAGTGACCTTCTAGGAACTTTTAGCAAAGTTTAATGACTATTTAGGGTATTAACCTCCATTTTTCTCTTCTCTCTTGATAAGTCTTAGATTCTCATTCAAATCATTTTTTTTTCATTATTCTTTCTTTTATTTGTTGTTTTTTAACTTGGAGCCTGTTTGGTAGGGATTTT